TTTGAGAATTAGAAAAGATTTGGTGTAGGTAGTTTCGATTGTCAAATAAAAAAAAATTGTTTGTTCCATTTGAGAAAAATCTGTAACATCAGAAACTACCTAACTTGGAATTCATTCCTGGACCGATCCTTAATTCTGTCTCGTCTAGACTACTGCAACGGTCTTCTTTTAGATCATCCGCAAAGCCAACTTCAGCGTCTGCCAGGATGGTGACGCAATCACCTAAATCAATCCACATTACAGCTCCATCCAAACGCTTTCCACTGGGTCATTGTTTCTGCCCCAATGGATTTTAAATTCCTTACCCTGACTTTCAAATGTGTAAATCATACCCCTCCTAGATATTTTTGTGATCTTGTAGAATCGCACCTTACATCAAACGATCTGCGATCGGAATCTCTGATTATATCAAACTACAGGTTGTCTTTTGGTTATCGTCCGGTTGAAGTATAGCTACTACTAAAACGTCAATGCACATCTTTATCCTCATTCAAGAAACATTTAAAAACTCATTTAAAAAATGAAGTTCTAGCTGAGAGTCAAAGAAATGAAATGAGGTTTAACGTCCTACTGTTCTGCTCCGAACTGGACTAATGATTACGGGCATACGCCATACAGTGTGCTATGAGGGAAATTTGGCCCGGACTTCGTCACTACGGTCTACTCTTATATTGAATTCCAACTGTCAAGAGATTTTTTACGTCCACGCCAATGTGTACAAGGGACCTCGATTTTTCGCCCCATCCGAACGACTAGACAGCTGTCCTTGTCAAGCCCCGTCTTGCATCACTGACAAGGGGAAAGCACGCCGGAAAATGTGGATGAACTTTCTCGGGCAATGCAGGGATCGAACACTTAGCCATCGTGACCTCTGAGAGCCAGACACTTCCAGTAAATATGTTATATCAAGTGCTACATGCATATTTTTTGTGGAATTGTGGCGCTATAGAAATTGACATTTATTATAATGGTGCAACATTCCAAAGAAAGTACTTACTTCCGAAAAGTAGGGCACATTTGGTATATATGAAAGAAGGGAAAATACTGGATTCCATGAAAAATACCCATGGGTTTCGCACAAGAAAAAATTGTATAAGTGGGTCACTAACTGTTGACAGAGGATAAATATTAGGCTTCGATTTTTTTATCTTAAATGAACAGCGAAAACGACAAATACAAGTTCAAATTGTACCATCCTCTCAATCACGTCACGTGACAATGAATCACGGCTTCTTAAAATAGATTTGTACATCATGGGGTAGTTTTCTAGCGAATAAAATGTTTTGAGGGGGATTTTAAGCACCCTATTAAATATGTATGTATATGTTCTAGTCCAAATACATCATCAAATCACACGGTTTGTATGTGGAAAGGCATCTTCAAGTCCGATCTCACGTGCTAATATTTGACATTCAAACGTAGTGCTATAAAAATCATTTCTTTCAGTTCTTACTAATAGTATGATAAAGATCACGCCCTTACAGTATTGTGGTAGTGGCGACGTTATCCAAACTCTCCCTACGGATCCTACCAATTAGCGTCCGACCGCTTTATCTAGCTACATGTGTAAAACCATGGAGAGTTTGATCGAAGGCTTCTTTGGTACCTTGGGTCCAACAACCTCATTGCAACCTTCCAGTGTGGATTTCGGTTACAAAGGATCCCTCTCGTTAGATTTGAAACGTTTGTCAGGGATGCTTTCATCCAGAAACAACATTTAGTTGCTATATTGTTCGATCTGGAGAAAGTTTATGATACCACACGGAAATATGGTATCATGTGCGACGTGTGGTCGACGGTTCTCTTTAAGTTGATGACTTTCAGATGTTTTACACATCGACAAGTATGCAAACAATCGAATGTCAGTTGCAACTTTGGTTGAATGCTATTCAACGATAAGCAGCTGACAATGGATTTCGATTTTCGAAATATAAGTCTGTTTGGCGATAGAAAGGTTTGCATCCTGATCCGGAGCTTACACTGAATGGTAATCCCATTCCAGTTGTAGATGAAACGCAATTCTTGGTTTGATATTTAATAATAAATTACCCCCCCCCCCCATATAAAAACCCTCAAGCAGAAATGTCTGAAAGTCATCAACATATTGAGAGTCCTGTCAAATACTGACTGTGGAGCAGACCGTAAGGTCTTGCTCAGATTATATCGGGCATTAACAAGATTAAAACTTGATTATGGGTGTATTGTGTATTGGTTGGCCCTCGAAACTTATCACAAAGAATTTGACACCATACACAACCAAGGACTTGGAATCAGTTTAGGAGCATTCCGTACATATCCAGTGCATGGTTTATACGTCGAGGCGCATCATTCTCATTATTGCTGAAAACTAACGTTGTTCCATCATTCGGTATTCGCGCTCAACCCCTTTTGTCTGAGGCTGGCATCAGTCATGAAAGTATTGCGAATACCCCTTTCTTTGGGACACCGCCATGGGCTATATGTACCCCCAAGATCGATTTAGATCTACCAAAAAATGATACTAGTTCCACGATTTTCAGTCTCCCCTTCGCGATTTAAGGTCTAATTATGGTGATTATGCTCCCATTTACACATATGGTTCCAAAGATGGGGATCGAGTAGCTTCAGCCACTGTCAGACGTCCAACTGCTGCTTCCATATTTAGTGCTGAGCTCCAGACCATTGGAGTTCATTGAATCCTCTCCATATTTAAAACAGGCCATATTTACCGATCCTTTGTCCTGACTTCGAGCAATAAGCAAAACACAGCAGATGTTTATTGTCTCCTACTATCACACCAGTTGACGGCAAGAACACTGTCGTTTGCTGGCGCCCCAGTCATGTTGATATTAAATGGAAAGACCAGAAAGACTTAGCTGCCAAGTCTGCTTTAGATCTTCCAATACCAAACTTTCTATTACCATTTTCTGATTTTAAATCTTCAATCAATCATTTTATACACGTGCGCCGGCCAAACTCCTGTAGGTCGAACAGAAGGACTGGGGATGTTAAGCCCATTTTAATCCGAGTACGAGTATTTTAAGGATATTCGAAATACATTACCGTTGCCAATCTTTGAACAACCGGGTTTATATGACAAACTGCTAGACTTTCTAAAATAGACTTTTACTATAAATTTTAAAATAGACTTTTACTATAAATTTTAAAAGAGACTTTTACTTTATATACTCAGCCAAATTAAAAACTTGACATTGATGAATTTCAACAAATTTTTTTTTCTGGTAAATCAAATAAATTTTAAAGTTAAAGTGTTTCTAACGATAGTAAGTAGTAAGAAGCCCTTAATTTCATAAAATTGTAAAGTCACGTGCATCACGTGACTTTTGACGTATAAAGATGAAAAACCTGAAAAACGCGTGAGGTCAATCGATGCAAGTTTGCTTAAACTGAACACGCACACGTAACTTGAACTGGAAAAAGAAATTAAATTTGTTATTTTCATCTTTGTTAGAAAATGCCGCGCCTTTCAAATGTAGAACTAGGTTGGTTGGAGAAGGTGACAAATCCAGCTTTGTGGGAAGAAATTCCTACCCAAAAGATTTCTTCATTTTCTGAAACAACTATGTCCCTAGAGTTCCAGAAAAATTTTCCCCGCCGATCAGAGTTGAGCAAATTTTTTTACAGCATTTTGAAATTTTGCCCCCCCTGGGTCAACATAATGAAACTGAAAACCATTTATAACTTCAAAAATATCAATTTTACAGCCTAGAAATGTATTATCTACATATAGGAAAGTGATACCAAGCAATCCCGAAATGAAGTCAAAAGTAACGTCCAACGTCACCATGACGTCAGAATACAAAATGGCGGAACTATGACGTCACTGTGGTGTCAAAATTCAAAATGGCGGAGACGTGTTGTGAATAAAGCAACAACAGCAAGCAAATAGACATGAGGAACATTCTGGACACCATAAAATATTCATTCGGATCATCAGCAATAAAATAATCAAAATATTCTTCAGTTCTGATTTGTTCTACCCCGTACCAAATTCATCTTCTAAATCAATGCTGATTTGTTCGCTATTCAGACAACCCTCCCTGTGACATCCTCCACATCCTTCAACACATTTCAAACCATTCTGTGTACAAGAACATGGCGAGCATTGTTTTTTCAACGATTTACACCGGATGAAATTCAGAACGTTGTCTGGTGCTGATGGAAGAACAGTCGCGATGAGAACGTATCTATTCTCTATCACTTGCCAACCCCAATTCACAGGATCGACGCCATCGTCTAGTTCATCCCAAATTCTAACCTGAACATGAACGCGGTGAGCATGCTGCTCGGCCGCGGCAACTGTTGGAGGAAGTCTATTGATTTGAATGGAAATTTTTTCAGCTATCATAGCTTTGTACCTTAGGTACCGGACTTTAGTCAGAGGTATCTCATTTTTGTTATTCAAGCAAACGGACAGTGAACAGTCTGTCAGTTGGTGACCCTCTTACAGTTTTCTCCTATACGCGCCTAGTGGGTATTTTTCATGGACTCCAGTATTTTCTAGTAAAACTGGGTGCCTCTAGTTTTCATACCAAATTTGACATACATGTTTGAATGTAACTGCCCTATAAATATTGTAAATGTATTTTAATAGCGGTTTAAACCTTAGACTTATTACTACCAGTACATATCTGTTGGTCCACGCGACATTACTACATGGATCAACAGACATACGCCAGGTATCTTTACCGTATATCTCCCACTTTAATCTACTTATTTAATTACAGTTTACGGTTATATCGTGTGAAGTGCTAGCAAACACATTCTAATTTTAAAGACGCATTTGGCTAAATCTGCCTGATTCAGGTTTTTTGTCGGGCTTCAAATGTTATATGAAGTATTATTTAGCCATTTATTCAAATAACAGTCTCTCGGATCGCCGGGATATTAAATGGAAATTAAATGTTTCTCTTTCGGGATTAACTACATTATTGTGAGTGGGTCCGGATGTGTAATTTTGAGTCAGGTTTTTCATATTATTTGTGTATTTTCAATTATAGGTGTATGTAGTCCCCCAGGTGAAAATGGCAGTGTGTGTCTAGATGGTTCCTGTCAATGTAATGTAAATGGTTCGAATTGTTTTACCGTGGAAGGTATGATTTATTTTATATTATCCTAATCTATGTAGATTCAGCTTAGTTGATGACGTCATAATATGGATAGAGAACTGGGGTATAACGTCCACTCAACACAATTAAGTAATTTCGGACCATATATATATATGGTTAAATTTTTATTCAATAATTCGTTTGCGCGTTGTGGGGGGAAACCGGAGGACCCGGCGAAAACCTACGCGGTGGGATAGGCGACCCCACTCCTTATAACGTACACGCTGGGAATCGGAACCTCACCACTTGACTCATTGACAGACCTTGTGATCTGAAACGTAACCGCTATTCCCCCCCCCCCCGCACCCCAAAAGGGTGTATTAATAGCGTTTCGTGAAATAATCGTAAGTTTGACTAGTCGGTCAGCTAAACAGAGTTTATCTATTAATGCTAGACTGTTCCCCAAGAATTTATATCATGTGGACCTATACAGGCGGCAGAACGGATTACTGCTTAGATTAAAGGAGTACAGAATCCAAAGCATAATGTAACTCATGTTGTAATTACATTTTACCAGAATGCGTGGGTGGCTGTTTAAATGGAGGTACATGTGATTATAGAGGTAAATGTAAATGCCTAATGGAATACACAGGTGTCAATTGTGAAACATATACAGGTAAATTATCTATTTGGTCAAATCCAGAATTTAATTAGCGTTATTGTGTCTTTTATATCAATATACAATTCGCCGGAACAGCAGCAATTATAGAAAACGCCAATGAACAATTAATAACATAATTTATTACTGTGTAAAACAATGATGACAAACATGGTAACACATGGTTTATTACATTGTGAAACAACAATCATAAACATGGTAACATATGATTTATTACAGTGTATAACAACAATCACAAGCGTGTTAACACATGGTTTATTACAGTGTAAACCAACAATCACAAACATGATAACACACGAGAATGATACAAATAATATAAATAACGGACTTGTTATAGTAACACATTCAAATTATACAAATTGGTTTCATACAGAGTGTCCATGTCTAAATAACGGACGGTGCGTTGATGACGAGTGTCAATGTGCGACAAATGAAACTGGAAAATTCATGGGAAACCTTTGTAGTAACTTCACCTTTTATTGTAAGTTATCTTATTCTATGTATCAGGGCCCTGTTTCACGAAATTTTAACTAAAGATAAAATCCAAAATTTAGTAATTACTTCAATTTTGATTGGCTAAGCACCAAAATCAATCTAATATTATCCAATCAAATTACTAAAAATTGGATTTTATCTTAGTTAAAATTTCTTGAAACAGGTCCCAGGTTATTTGTAAAATGTTTCAACATTTAAAAGTACCAAATTTGTTAACGTACAGACAATTTTTGATATATTAAATTAGATTCTGAATAACATTTGATGTTTCTCTGATGTTTCCGGCGTGGTTTCCCCTTGTCAGTGTTGCAGGACGGAGGGCCTGACAAGGACAGCTGTCTAGTCGTTCGGATGGGACGAAAAACCGAGGTCCCGTGTACACATTGGCGTGCACGTAAAAGATCCCTTGGCAGTTGGAATTCGATATAAGAGTAGGCCGTAGCGCCGCTGCCCGGGCAAAATTTCCCTCACAGCACACTGTATGATGTATGCCTGTCTTCATTAGCCCAGTTTAGTAGCAGAACAGTAGGACGTTAAACCCCATTTCATTCATTCATTCATTCTTTTCTCTGATGATAACATGTAGTAACGATTAGTGTCGTCTACATTCTGATCGTATTAGCTTTTTACATACTGTTTATCACAATTTTTTTATACTCAAACAGAAAAAACATTGAGCTTAAAATATACCCCTGTTGTACGCCACAGCGACACTCAACATATTTAACAATGTAGCATTGATTAATATCTTCACCGTCAGAGCAGGACGCCAAGGAAAGTCCATAATCAAATATACAAATATCTTAATCTCATACTCGGTTCTTGGGCAGTTTCAGATATTAATTTTCTATCAAGTTTTTAAATTGGGATCATCTCAGACACAGTGTTTAAGCGGCAATGAGAAGACTTCTCAAAATTATATTCTGATATATTCGATCTGAAATCTTCGTTGTTCTATTTAATAGTTCAGATGTTGTTTAATTTTATCCACAGATCCGTGTTACCCGTCAGTTCTGAATGGTGAATTGTGTTCAGCGGGTACTATTTACTATCCCTACGACGGTATTTCCATGGTGATCAATGTGAGAAGTACAGTTTAAAAGGTAATTGTAATAAATACAGTCGATATTAAAGGGGGATAACCCTGTAAATTATCATGGACAGAGTTCAATGTCGTCAATAGTTGATATGAAATGTCTTCCGTGCGCATACGGCGGCACAATCTACAGCATTCTCGGCAACTCCAGTGGTGTCGTTCCGTTCTACTGATCTAACCTCTGGGTCCATCCACGGGGTTTTCTCAAATTCAAATTACCTGTCCTTGATGGTAACTTGATTCAACGAACCAATCAAAACCAGTTTACATACCAGCCTTAGTGTCATTGTTTACGTTCACCCACGGCTCCATTTAACTAGTAAACTACGTTACATAGTGGGATTTTTTTAGCAGCGGGATGAGCAAATTAATGACACGAGGCTACAAGGTGTGGGTGTAGTCCAGAACGTCACGTGAGAGGCTTATATAACGATAGACCAGCTGTGACAAAAAAGTGATGTGATCAATGATTTCAAAAGTACAGTAAAACAAGTTTGTCTCGCCATCTTCTCAGATATGTGCCAAAATACACCAAATAATGGCCATTTTTCAGAATTTCTTAGGGGCTCAACTCCAGGGGTTTCACCCCAATAATCTTAGTAGCAATAAAATGCGAGTTACCTCCCTTCTGAGAAATTGCTTTCATCCCCCGAAACAGAAATGAAATGGGATTTAACGTCCTACTGTTCTGCTCTTGACTATGGCCTACTCTTATATCGAATTCCAACTGCAAATTCCAGGCCCTCTGCCCTACACCACTGCCAACGGGAAACCACGTCGCGAAATCCCCATTAACGTTCCCGACCAATTGTGGGATCGAACACGCGACCTCAAGCTTTGTGAGCCAGCGACTTACCCACTTAGCCACCGTGGCTTCTACCACTGAAACAATTACACATGGTGTGTATTTTAACAAGACACGTAGCAGATTATTTTTATTTGTGTTTTACTTAGGCATAGTACTTTAACTTCCGGGAGAGAAATGGCGTTCATCGCCGACACAATTAGAGCAATTTATTAACTGGATACATCAGTCGTTGCAAATATTATAGCTTGTATTTACATGTTTTTCACAAATCAGTTAACACCTATACTGTATTCTAATTAACACCTGTACTGCATTCTATTTAACACCTGTACTGTATTCTAATAAACACCTAGACGGTATACCATTTAACACCTGTATCAAATTATATTATGTAGACTGTGGCAGTAGTTGTCTAGAGCCAGAAGTGTGTTTAGAGGAGGGTTGTAGCTGTCCGTACAACACAACAGAGCGTTACCTCACCTATACAAATGAAAATGGCAGATGTAATGGAACACGATATCTGTAGGTGAAAATGGGTATTTATAGCATTTTTCGGACAACGAACCTAACTCCAGGATATTAGTGACTTTTTAATGGTGTGCTAAACAAGAGGTATGCGAAAACGAAAATCAGTATCCGTACCTTTTGAGAAATTGGTCTTCATGACTTCAATCGTGCTCACAACGCAGATAAGCCCCAAGTCGGAATAAATAAATTCCAATGAGATTTTCTTCGTTCGTTCCTGGGTTTTATGTCAACTTCCACCAAGGGTGATATCGTAGACAAGTGTTTCCTAAGAACTTGCCAGAGGAAGACACAAAATAGGCTTGATGCATCTTTTTGGGGTAAAACAAAATGTCTTTGTAGGGAAGCGCCTAAGGCGAATGTCATCCAAAGAAAGAATGGGTGCGCAGTCTGGCCTGCTTTAACATAAATGCTACAATATTAGGTATGGTAGTTAAATTTAGGGTTGACCGTTAGTTGGGCCTTAGGGTCCGCCGCCTGTCCGACCTAGGGTCAGGGATGCATACAATGCCGTGCTGTTAGCCTTATGAAAAGAAACATGCTACTTGTTTTGAACCAACTGGGCTAATTAAATGAAATGAGGTTTATATTTCTGCACCAACTGGACTAATGAAAAACGATATGCTACTCGAGATATCTAATCCAATCCAAACTGTCAGGCCTTTTTTCTGTGTACATAGAACTAGATTTAAATAGACGCCATTTTATAACTAAATTGCCTAATTGTTTTATTTCTTAACATTTCAGCTGAAACCAAAATTAAAATCAAACGACCAAATATTCACTGTGTTGTCTGATTTTTTATTGATGGCGATTAACAGACTCTGTGGTCCCGCCAACACACCAGCCTGGATGATTTGGATAATAATCTGTACTGGGCGTCTGTTTAAAGGGGCAGGGATCCTGGGTAATCAGTATTGGTTGTATAAAGGGACTGGCTAATCAATACGTATATTTAAAAGGGGTGGGGAATCCTCAGAGCTTTTGTTTTTATCCCATCCCACATCCGACTTTCTGTTGCGTTGGTAATTTACTCCTATCGATATATTGTGATCTATGGGGTATATTATGGCCCGACCGCGGTGCTTATCAAGATGGTAAGTAGCATTTATGGCAAATTTGGTGCTTTTGTCCGTAACGTTCATATCAATCCTCAAATCTGAATACTAATAAGAGATATCTAAAACTTATAAAGTTTATTTGACTTTATGACTTCACAACTTACCTGCAATGTTGAAAAAACGCCGAGAAACGTCTGCTTCTTCTCGTTCGGTTGGAAATTGTATTACCCAGTTGGAAATTTGTTTAAGGGCAATTGTCACCCTGACCCTGCGGACAGTCCGGCTTACAGTGGGTTTTGATATATTTAGTGTGTCGGAAATAACTACCTGATAGCTGCCAGTAGCAACAAATCTCAGGGCAACCAAAAGTTGTAGTAACACCGGCAGGGGCGACGACCGATGGTTGGTCTAATTAAAGATGGTTTCGGGAAAAAAACGATAGCGGAAGCGAATTTCTACAGGATTTAGTAATTATAATGGGTTTGTTTTGTCTCTTATAATTCTTTCAGGCCCAGGAACAAAATGGCGTCTGATGAAGTTGGCAGCCATTTTGTTGTGATTTTAAGTTAAGACAGGGTATTAGGTGACTTAACTTAAAATCGATTATAACTTAAAATCTTTGGAAAATGAGTTTGGTGAATATGACTTATCTTAAGTTAAGGTCAAATTTTAAGTTACAATCAAGGTCATCTGAAAGGGTCAAGGGCCCTGGGCCACGCAGAAAGTCAAAAGTCATGACCTTACATGGACACCTCACTCACCTTTCAAATGAGACCTTGACCTTTGATCTGACCTTTGACCTTGGGATCGAAAAAGTTCCCAAACTTCATGTACCATGCAGACTTTCGCCATAGATAAGAGTCATGATCATACATGGAATTTTCTATTACCAAAACATGGTATGATTAACTGACCGATGCTTATTTCTTTTGACGGCACGCGGAGCTTGTACACAGGTCACGTGTAGCTTGTAAATGACATATGGCATTAATTACATGTTTGATTATAACATAGCCAATTCGTGCCTTAACAGAAGTATATACAGAGTTGAAAAGTCAATATCATATATTATCAAAAACCAATCCAGAAGTTCTATGCACCTAATTGATCGTTCAATTTGATGAAAGTTATAGAGCACTTTGTTACAATCGTCATTCCATATCAACCCCCCTTGATAAAGGTAAACTATACTGACTTCAGTTTTCCTGCTATTTGGATTAACATTGAGTATGTGTTTATGATCAAGCGTGGATAATCTTTGTTTCAATTCAATAAAAATAAGAAAACACAACCAATTGTTTGGTCAATTAATATTTATTTTGAAAACTCCACGAATTTCTCGTCTTTTACTTTAGATTTCGTACCACCTGAAAAAATAAATTACAAAATTTAGAAAATACAGAGTAAATACATGATGAAATGCAGTGATTATCATATATGAATCTATAGTTTATCCAAGCGGTTGTATAGACCGGGAGCCCAGGGGGTCAGCCTAGCTGAAAAGTGTGCCAATTTTCTCCTATATGGTATCAATGTATGTATATCTGGTATCATCAGAATGTAAGTCTGTCGGGTTTCTGGTGGTGGGTGTGGTATTCCACGCCCTAAATGCCGTGACCCCCGACTAGGCTAGATTAGGTCAAAAGTGTACCACATGAAAATCGCACAGCAAGGTGTCGTACATCTTCAGGTATTACAAAAACACTCTGACAGACATTTCTAGTGGTGGGGTACCCCTGACAGAGCTATGTAATTACCAGATATTTGTAGTGATATACATACATTGATACCATATAGGAGAAAATTGGTACAGCTAGGTTAACCCCCTGGGCTCCCACTCTATGTAGAAGTGATAATATTCGGTAACTAAACTATTTATTACAGTAAAAGATTAAATCGTGACGACAAGCAGAGTAACTGTGCTGGAAACGGGAGGAAATCCTGAATGCTTTATGAATGTACAAATCGGTATTTATAATACACCAACATATGGCTAACAACCCTTAAAGACGTCATCCACGTTCTATATGATTACATACAGAATTAAAGTGACAATAATATGAAAAAACTTCTAGAACAAGCAAACACTAACTCCAATATAAGAAAAGGGGTAACATTGCCCGACACGATTGTACAGTGTAGTTTCCCTGTTGTGACTTTCATTATATTTCTATATTTCCAAATATATACCCCGAACAGGAACTATATTACTACCCGATGCTTTCACTTATATAATTTTGTTTTATCCCTTCAAAATGCTAACAAATTCATACTTACAGATAATATTTACCACTGCATTTTTCAACAGAACCAAAGACATCATAATACGAATAACCTTCTGCCAGATTATATGGACACGTACAATACTTCGCTACACACACGTAGGGCTCTACACAAATACTGCTGCAATCTACATAATACAAAACACATACCAATGTATCCCACTATAACATTGCATTTCTTGTTAAATAACCCCGAAATGGATGTGTGGGTCGTGGTAGCTGGAAAATATTTCTCGGCCAACACAGGGATCGAACACGGAACCTCCAGGTAAGCGAGCTAACGTCTTACTCACTGAGTCACCGTGTGACGATAAAACATAACCATTGAGAATGCTAACAGTTAAAACATTGCAATGGTTATCGAATCGTGGCCCACAATTTGATGTTGTTTGGGGGCTCACGCGAAGCTTTAAACAAGGGCGGTCAACTAGCCGAGTTACTCCCCTTCAATAAATCTCGACAGTAATATGACCTGAAATGGGTTTAAATATCTAACTATTCTGCAACAAGCAGTTACATAAAATACACACTGTCACGGGCCATCCCTTGAGAAATATTCTTATACCGCCAGTCCCCATGTTACTTCGAATATTTCTTCGACAAAATTTAAACAAGGAGTTGCCATGCTTACATTTTGTAAGAGATGAGGAACAGGAAAATCCAGAGAGGGAGGGAGAGAGAGGGAGAGAGAGAGAGGGAGGGAGAGAGAGGGAGAGAGAGAGAGAGGGAGAGAGAGAGGGAGAAAGAGGGAGATAGAGAGGGAGGGAGAGAGAGAGAGGGAGAGAGAAATGGGGTTTAACGTCCACTCGACATAAACTAGGTCATTTCGGGACTAACATATGGTTCAATTTTATTTCCACAATTCGCTTGCGCATAGGGGTCTTTAGCAGTGGGAGGAAACCGGAGGACCCGGAGTAAACCCACGAGGTTGGACAGGCGACCCTACTCCTTGTCACGTACAACCGAGGATTCGAAACCACGCCAATTGACTCAATGGCAGGCCTTATGATACAGCACGCACGTGCTAACCATTCGGCCATCCAACCCCCTGGAAATCCAACATCATTCGTCCTCTCATTGTCACAATGCTTCACACATAATTAGAGTTGAGTTTTGATGCGTACCAAAATCGAAGTAAGCCAAGACCCAATGATCCTTAACATATATTTCAAGTTTCATCCGAATCGGAAAAAAATCGTCGCCTCTGAAGGGTCCACATATTTCACATTTTGCGGAAAAGGCAGGGGGCATAACTACGGTTCAGAAGGTACAGTGCGCACAAAAACAATTGAACTCATCCACGATCTTTTGATCCTTAACACATAAAACATACATATCTAGGTTCGAATTATCTACAGACCTAGAGCAATATCTGGTAATCAAGCAGTAATAGAGCAGATTTGAGAATTGATATGAACGTTACGGACAAAAGCGCCAAATTTTTGCCATAAATGCTACCCACTCCGTTGATAGGCACTAATTCCTTCAAATATGGTATGGCGGCCATTAAAGGCTATCTACTACGTTGATAGACACCACTTCTTCCAAATATGGTATGACGGCCATCTTGTATCTTTAAGATGTCTGTATTTCAGCTTCTAAAAAACTCAGGGTCACAATCTTAATTTTGAGGGAAGTGGTGCTTTTCTAGATGATATAACGGTATTAAATGTTTAGAAGATGAGATTTTGGCAGACATGGGTTTTTGCATATCAGAAGCCTTAAAAATCCAAAATGGCCACCATAATATATTTGGAGGAATTTGTGCATATTAATTTAGCAAAATTTGATAAGCTAGGGTAATTTGTAGAATTTGAGAAGAAAGTGGTGACTTTGTCCAGAATGTCCACATTAATTGCTAAACTGCCTAACTATGGCCTTTTCAATAATATATATTACTAACTGTGTTTACTGTACTGCTCACATTGGTCACCATGGAAATAACCTATGTCGTCATATGGGCAAGCAGAACTTTGATGAAAACACAATCCACCATTGAGAACCGACGGGTAACATGGCGCTGTGGAGAAAACGAATCAGTAGGTTAATCAAATGGGGTTTAACATCCTACTGTTCTGTACCGAACAATCATCATCTAATTTAAAATATATAATTTTTACTGATTCTTTGTCCTCATTACAAACAATAAATAACACACAGTCTGATCACCCATATAGCAGATGTTTATTGTCTCCTACTATCATACGAGTTCATCAGCATGGACATTGTCCTTTGCTGGCTCCCCAGTCATATTAATGATAGAACTGGCTCGACTGCAAGTCTGCTTTAGATCTTTCCATATCCGAATTTTTAACTCCATCATAAACACATTTATGTATGTCCGCTGGCAACGGTCATGGGACTTTGCAGGCAAAAACAAACTTCATCATATTAAGCCTCTCTTAGGAAGGTGGTCAAACTCCTATAGGTCCAACAGAAAGAATGGGGTTGTTTTGTGTCACTCTCGCACAGGTCATACGTTTTTAACACACATTTTTATCTTAACTCGAGAGCCTCAGCCAAAATGTGAACACTGTCATGTTGATTTGACAGTGTTGACATTCAGGTGCCTTAGATATTATCGTTGCTAGTCCCCACATCAAGTGTTTGCCCAGACGGGTCAAAATTGTAAAGTGGTAGATGTTTTTAAAAAGGAAAAATTGTTAATTGTATATATTTCATTTTCTATTTCATATTTTAAATATTTACACATAAAGTTTGTGATATTTGTTTTTATTTATGTATATATATATATATATATATATATATATATATATATATATATATATATTGATTATTCGTGTCTAGTTTGTCTCAAGTAACATCATCATATGTTTGGCTCAATATAGCCCGGTTGGAGTTGACGTTCCATTAAACAATATTTCATTTCATGAAGTTCATTTCACTTTGTTGCTACTCGAATGAAGCCCGATGGGCCAGTGGTAGTATATATATATATTAATGTTACACTAATCCAAAAGAAGATCGATATCAACAATAACACATTTCCACCAAATTGTAGGCATTAGGTATCTCAGAAAAGTCCTCCCCCCCCCCCCACAAGTGATCACCACCCAAAGCCGAAACCTCCGCAAAAATACTTTACAAAAACTTGGTTTCACACATTCTCTTATCGGGTGGCTATACTTGTTAAACAGATACACACCTGTGTATACGTTATTAGCACATCATCATATCGCACATATATTTTATATATTAAAGCTAATGTAATACCTGCTCTATAGTTGCATGTCATACTTATCATTCAGTCCGCATCGCTCCTACATGTCCTCAAGATCACATGACACGTATGTTTGAGAGAGAGAGAGAGAGCGAGAGAGAGAGAGATGGGGTTTAATGTCCACTTGACACAAACTATGGGACTAACATATGGTTTAAATTTTTATTTCAACAATTCGGTTGCGCGTAGAGGTCTTTAGCAGTGTGAAGAAGCCGAGGCCGGAGAAAACCCACGAGGTTGGGCAGGCGACCCTACTCCTTGTCACGTACAACCGGGGATTCGAAACAACGCCAGTTGATCAATGACAGGCCTTATGATACAGCGCGCGCGTGCTAACCATTCGTCCATCCAACCCCCCTGTTTGAAAAAGACATTAGTTATATCTTGAGCCACCAGCCTATGTAGTATACATTTCACGATAACGACTTGTTGATTGATGCGGGATTTCGTCAAGGATCATCAAATGATGGACAGTTTTCAATTTTATGAAATGAAATGAAATAGGGTTTAACGTCCTACTGTTCTGCTCCGACTGAGATAATGAAGACGTGTTCAATTCTATTGAAAGTTTCGGTCTTTAACGTGGTGCCATCTATCATCTGCTATTTTTAGATTGACCTGAACTATACTTACGTTCAAATGCGAATTGCTCACATATTTGTCCATAGTAATGTCCCGTGCTGTTTGATGGACAACCACAGTATTTACCAAAACACGTTCCGTTATTCTGGCAAGGACAACCTATATGAATGAATGCAAATGTTATATAAAATAAAAATTATATCAGTTTAATGTTGGGTGTCCAAGTGTCGTGCGCGGCACGCCTTTGTGACGGGAGAGAGAGAGAGAGAGAGGTAACATTTCTAACCTTCGGTTTCGGTTTGTGTTTGTATATGACTTTATGTTGTGCTGAGGGAGTGAGTGGTTGATTTAATATCGAGATTCTCTCAGTAGGAATTCTTACTGCTGACTGGGTATCTTACTGGCTCACACGAGCAGGTGTATTTGACTAAATGCCAGGAAATGAAATGGGGTTTAACGGCCTACTGTTCTGATCTGGCTATGCTAATGTAGACGGATCATGAAATAGAGTTTTAATAGAGAAACAACACAAACGCAACGTGGTAAGGCAGGTGACCTTACTCCATGTCAGGTAGAAGCCTTGGATCGAAATCATGACAGCATACTCGGATCAAGAAGAAAATTCCATACGTTACCTATGTATGTTTCACAGTATGCTCCAGTGTATTCTTGGGTACATAGACACGTACTTCCATTTCCACAAACACCCCCATTTAAACAACCACCGATACATTCTAATAAATTATAAATAATAACAATGATATAAGTTACATTCGCAGGGGCGGATCCAGGAATTTTTGCAGGAGGGGGTTTGAAATTTTTTGAGAAATACATGGTCTCTATCGTCATTTTGGCGTATATACATACACATTGAGCTTTTTAAACAGAGATATCCAACATGCTGTTTGGCGTCAATTTTTATTATGAATTAATACGATGACATTGTGATTCAATTTTATTGATGCAAAGCATTAATTGTGATATCACATATGTCTATATCATTATCTCGCGCTTTGAGTACCCATCCTGTCGCACCATCTGACGATAAAGGATAAAGCACAATTATGACACTTTTCTCATAAAAAAGGTTGTTTAACAAAAACAATTATGTAGCTAAGCAGGGGGTGGGGGGTATAAGAAGGCTTTCACAGTACCTCCGTGAAACAGATTGTATTGTTCACTCATATCCGAGTATCACAAAGCACATACTGAAATACCGTTGATGCAAATGAAATGAAATTTAACGTCATACTTTTCTGCACTGACCGGTCTAATGAAGACCTCGTTTTTATGTCCCATCCGAACAACTAGGTAGGCCCTACGCCTAGTAAAAAGGGGAGACATTGGCTCCTCATAGATACAAGTTGACGCACGCAACAATCTTTCCAGCCTATGGTGAAAGTGGCAATAAATGCTTACCAACACATAAGAACACTTATCTTACGTGTGACAATGTATGTATGCACTTAAGTCTGAAGTCTGTTATCCATATACGCGTTTTACCGCCTTTTGGTACACGTTATCGCCAATTACATAGAAACGGTCCAATTGCATTTGCATTACAAACGGTCGTGGAAACGCCGAGAGTGGACCTTACGCTGAGATTTAAGTGAACCACTAATTTCCGTCCTGGCCAATTTAGAGCAGCACAGTTCCCACGAAAGTCCTTCAACGTTATTTCAGACTGTAGCACGTAATTAATCTCAAATATTACAGTTAACAAAATCACTGGAAATCGATAATAATTATTTAACATCTTGCTCGACCCTTTTAATGAATATCATACTAGTACCTTGCACCTGTGAACAAGTCGGTCCCGAGGTATAATGGGTTCCATTGGATTTACACCGACACTTATTACTATATACTCCACACGTCCCGCCATTTTCACAAGGCTCACTACATGTATCTAAAACGTTATGTTAAATAGGTCAGCAACGTTAAAGCAAAGGTTAATACCTTATTGAAATATTTGATCTAAACATTATACTATATTAATATCAAGAACGTTAAATAATAGGTTAATACTCTTATTGAAATATTTGAAATGAAATGAAATGGGGTTTAACGTCCTACTGTTCTGCTCCAACTGGTCTAATGAAGACGGACATACAGAAATGAAATGAAATGGGGTTTAACGTCCTACTGTTCTGCTCCAACTGGGCTAATGAAGACGGGCATACGCCATACAGTGTGCCATTCCAACCGGCAAGGAATCTTTTACGTACACGCCAATGTGTACACGGGACCTCGGTTTTTCCTCCCTTCCGAACGACTGGACAGCTGTCCTTAAATATTTGACCTAAACATTATACTATTAAATATGCTTTATATATGAGTTAAATTTGTCCTTTGCGGGTCTTTATTTTGGATTTAAATGTATTATATAAAATAACATTTAAGCATTTATTTACATGTCAAACCTCAAATCATCCATCTAGACCATCGGATTGCTGAGATTTAAATGGATTGGCAAACACGCGAGATTTAAAAAATTTATCGATAAAACAGATATAAAGAGAACACCATTTCCCACGTCAGTGGATCTATGACGTGGGCGGTGACGTCATTATCGAGATTAATCAGACCAGTCTCTACAAGCTACAGAGAATACACAATACTGCAGCCATACAAATATCACAATCCAAAGCATCGTCTCACATAACACCTATTCTAAAATATTTACATTTGCTCCCAATTCCCGCTCGCATTGACTTAAAGGTCCCGTGCCTCACATATACTAGTGTCTATAAAATCTTGTGCCTAGCTATGTTATTACCAGAACACTCATGTCGTTCCAGAGTCGAAATTGTTGACAAGTTTCAGGCTAGTTGGTCTTAAATTATGAAATTTAGAAACTGTGAAACTTTGACTACTTTCAAATTACAGTTGAAGACTCAGTTACTTCGGGAACGTTATGAGAATTAGACTTTCTGTTCACCATGTATATAACTATTTTCTCACTGATTTGGCGCTCTTAAAAATGTACAGTTTTATTATTATTATTATTTCCCGATCTCAAACCAGCTTATAAAGTAACTAGGAAATAGCGTTATATATTGTTTTGATTATGACCGTAACCAAGGTTCTCGGAAATACAATCTATTCCAAGATATTACTGATAAACGGCTTACCTGTGACGTCATTAACTGCTAAAAAATTATAACACCAATTTGGATAAGTTATACAGAGATATCATTTTGTAAAATAAAGATGTTACATATAATAATTGTCGCCCTTGCGATTTGATTGTGTGCGGCCGCTTTATATTTATCAGCAGTATATATTTCCTAGGCCGCTACAATTACCTATATCCTGGGACGCTACAATCGCCGAGAGGGGGTGGCATCGTTGTGGGTTAATAAGTTTACGATATTAACATTTTTCCTTCTGTAAATTATATTTTAGAACATATTTTTAAGTACTGTACTAGAAAAATAAATAAAGGTGTTTGGAGTATATCAGGATAAGAAATAATTCCTATTTAGTGTAAATGGATATACACTATGAGTAAAAGGTAGCATTCTTGCCAGGACCAGTTTACGCGACGACGTCTTCTGTAAAACAAGACATGCGCCATAGAGCCATTATCGATGTCATGCGATGTGACGTCTCGTGTAGAAGGTGTTATATTTTATAAATGTCAGCCATCTTACACAAGTTAGAAGGCTTTCGCATTGTCTCTGTGAAACCGATTCCAACCGCGTGTGCCGTCATTTAGTACATGCACCTACTTACAACTGGAACCTTAAGGGGACGCATGTTGAGTACAACCCGATGCCACCATTGCATGATCGCTCATGGTAACTTTTTCATGCAGCCCATGGTTCGATTAAACACACACCACACAGTCGGGTGCGCAAAATCGAAATAAATCTCCATTTTAGTTTCTGTGTGAATATAATTAAATTTGATAACTCACTATAAGGTGTAAAGGTATCACAAGTCGGTCCTTCATAATATCCTGTTGAATTTGAATTACAGCTGCAATAAGTAGAGTTATAACCAAAGCTACGACACTCTCCATCAACACAAGCTGGGATACATTGAACTATAAATAGTGAGATGAAAATATAAAATAAACATATCCTTTCTTGAGGTTTGAAAACTTAAGGTTTTTCGTTTTGCATCTTTTAGCATCCTTTTAAAATTCACAAAGAAAAATGAATTTAATTAATGACTCACCAGCCTGTTCACAATGCGAACCGCTGTAATCCCATTCGTTCGTGGATTTACATTGACAGACGCCACCCAGACAGGATCCACCATTCTCACAAGCAGGATTACATGGCTCTAAAATACAAGATGACACTAGAAAGTAATAAACTAAATGAAATGGCGTTTAACTTCCAATGCTTCTTCTACGACTGGGCCAATGAAAACGGGTAAACTTCGTGTAGTGTGTTATTAGGGAAATCGTTGCTATGGCTTACTTTGTCCAGGTTTTTTGTCCTGCACGACAATGTGTACATGGGACCCCGGTTTTTCGTCCCACCTGTCCCGCCATGTCCCCTTTCTAAGCCACTGACAAGGAGGAACTACGCCGAATGAACTAACACCGGAATCGAACACGGGACGGGACTTCCAGGTTAGCAAGACAGCATCATACTCATTGAGCCACCGTGGCTCCGATGTAAATTGAGAGAATGACTATAGTTGGGGTGGGCGTTGGGCTGGGGTGGCGGGGGGTCTAGAGACTGAATAGCTCAAACAGACCAGCTCCAAGGTCACACTTTTCTAACATTTTAGATCCAAACTGAATACTTCAGAATAGCCCCATCCCCGAAAAATCACTAAGCATTTTCCTTAATAATGCATTGTGTAGGACCATTGTTACGATAATATGCAATGTCTAGATTGCCCACTTTTAAAATAATGGCATTCCCTTGCCAAACAAGGCGAAACCAAGCAGGAAACTTCTACAGGAATTTATCAGTCACCACCGGATGTCAGCCAACGCCATACTAACTGGGTTGATTGACCCCCCTCCAATGATAGGACACAGATGACGAACAAAAATGATACAAAGTGACGCTCCTCCAGTGAAAGGACTCAGGTGACGAAAATAAATGATACTCCTATATCGAAGTTCAACTGTCAGGGGATCTTTTACTGTGCGCCAATTTGTACATGGGACCTCGGTTTTTCGTCCCAGTCCCATCCTTGCCAGGCCCTCCATCCTGCACCAATGACAAGGGGAAACCACGCTGGAAAATCCCCTGAACCTTCAAGACCAATACCGGGAGCGAACCGGCGCCCCCCAGGTTTGAGAGTCAGCGTCTTGTTCAATTAGCCACCCTTTCACTTAAAGGACAGAGGTCGGGAACAGAAATGTGATCGTAGAATAATCTAACTTACCTGCGGAAAACCTACTGCAATCACCTGGATCGTACCCATTAGCGGTTCCTATACAATTACACCGACCAGTAACACTACACTCACCGCCATTTTTACATGATGGTTCACAGGTTACTGTTGACAAAATATATCAAACAGCAAAATTAAACTGAGTTTTGTATAAACCTTTACCTAAAAAATAGGCCTATACAAAATATAAAAACTAAAATATACAATATACATACATTATGCAAGAGCTAAATCTGCTTATTGCAGGTCTTTCTTTAGGCATGAAATGTTATCTAAATTATTAATTAGACAGTAATTAACTTATCCAGACCATAATCAACCCTCGATGGTATCGCTCGCCTACGATATTTATTGGATTATGATCCCATCTGCTGCTCGACTTTAATCATGAAATGGATGATCGAGACTATGGTTTTTTATCGTACAGACTTTAGTAATGATGATCGAGACTAGGCCGAAATTTCAATCGCTTAATTCTCTATCCATAGTGGATCAATTTGACTGAAATTTTCAGCAAATTGCCTTTCAACTATCTAGGTTTTTTGCCTTTAACTATTTTAACTATTATAGTGAGGCCTGCCAGCTCTTTATCGTATCTCGCATAACGTGTCTTTAAGCATCATTGTACCATTTCTATTCATCTAATCAACGAATTCTACTTTAATCTCACCAATTCTACTTTAATCATCCTTTTAGAGATAACGAGAAACAATTTTGTAATATATCAAACAATATTAAATAATTTCGTTTCATTCGAAATTCCAAATTGATTTTGTGGTGTATTGCTCATAAAACAAAGAGTTTATGGTAAGACAAATATGAATTTTATTAGAGAATATCTGAGATCAGTTACAGAATGTGACAAGACAGGAATGCAAAATCAAGTGACTTTAAAGGCAAGTTTGAAGCACTTACTGTAAAACTACTAAATATGTGCCACATATTACACTACAGTTTTTGACTTAAATTGTATAATAATTATTTTTAAGAATTTTGCGAAAATTAATTTCTGACTAAGATGACATTAGCATTTCACAGTGTATTTGGTTTCGTTACACCCCTCGTGTTACCGGAAAAGTGCATTGCTCAAGCAGCTTTAAAGGTTAGCTCTATTTAAAATCTACAAATAGATATGTAAAGTCAGTACTATAAATACAGTACAATAAATCAATGTTCAATTACAACTTACTATTTTGTTGGTAATGTTCGCATTGTTTCCCATAGTAATATCCTGTTGCTGACGTTGAGCAGTTGCAGTAGGCTTGGTCAGTCAAGTGAGGTGCTAACTGTGAATTTCGTAGGACAACACACTCACCATGACCCGCTGTACACGGAGGATCACATACAGCCGTAGAAGCCATAGCTGTAGACGTCATAGAATTTACATTTGGTGACGGAGCTATACTTGATGACGCTGTAGAAGCCATAGTTGTTGACGCCGTAGACGTTGTAGTTGTTGACGCCGTAGAAGTTGTAGTTGTTGACGCTAAAAACAAATTGAGCAATAGTTGTCTTGTGTTATATATGATAATGAAAACGTATACTGTAATGACGTATATGGCGCCATATACTGCAATCTATACACAATTTCCAATACGAAATGATGGGATTTACCAATTCACACGTATCTGATTTTATAAGTTGATATGATGGTCATATTGCTGAAAAAAAGCGAACCTATTGTAACCTTTTCAGGTGATCATTAAAAACTCTGGACGTTATTTAAGTGATTTGTTAATCCTTGCGAACCAAGCACAACGCTATCCTGTGACATATAATGAAAATGTTGCAATATTTCTAAACTCTTCAGATACAAACGATTGTGATATTTATTCACTGACACTTTAAATTGTAGCTCATCAATATGTCAGTAAACACTTACGGACAAATGTTTGACACAAATCTCCATGATAGTTTTGTAGGCAGACACAGGTATTGTTAACAAGTGTATAGGTATTTTCCGTTACGTTGACAACACACTGACCGCCATTCTCACAAGCTTTATCACAATTAACTGTAATGTAAAAACGTGAAATAATATGACATTTAATGGAATGTATATAACCTATGATCATTTCGAAATTATAGAATATTTATCGTTGTCACTATGGCCTAGGGCAAATAAAATTAATTGGGGTTTGACTCCCTACCTATCTGAATCCAGTCAAATAATGACGACGGGAATATAACACAAAGTGTGCTAATAGGAAAATTTAATCCGGGTAAAGTCGAATTTCGAATTCCAACTTTCAATTCTTCATTTAGGTGCATGCCAATGTGTACACGGATACTGGGTTTTTCGTCCCATTCCAACGACAAAACACTGTACTTGTGAAGAAGCCCTCTGCCCTCCACCACGCGCCATAAAATTCCGAGGAACTGAACCATTAAAGATTCAAACCTTCCGGGATATATAAGCAAGAATAAAGTATATAATTGGGTTGATAGCGTGTATTATTTGGACAATTTTTAAACTATAAAATTTGTGTTTGGAAACATTACGCGGCTATCGGTTTATGTAGTGTAATCAATATCTTTGAGTTCCTATTTTATAATCATCCAGGAATATTCCCCCAGAATTCGTTTATATTAAAATATTTCAAGGGGAACTTTCTTTTGAAAATACAAGTAAGTGTGGAAAAACAATCAAGATAATCCGATTACGAAATTTTTTCCAATAATTCAGACCGTGGGTACCATGACACATGTAGCTTACCTCTGAGTGCGAACTTTTCACAGAATACACCAGTATAATAGAGTGGACAGGTACATGTTTGTTTAAAACCTGAATATGGATCCGGTAATAACACACACTGACCACCGTTTAGACAAGCTTTATTACATGTTACTGAAATAAAATAATTCTTGATTTTGATAAACCGTGTCTTTCTTTATTAGCTGTACGTTACCTGGGTCTGTACGTCACCTGGTGCTGTACGTTACCTGGGGATGTACGTCACCTGGTGTAGTACGTTACCTGGGGCTGTACGTTACCTGGTGTTGTACGTTACCTGATGTTGTACGTTACCTGGGGCTATACGTTACCTGGTGTTGTACGTTACCCGTGGCTGTACGTTACCTGGTGTTGTACGTTACCTGGTGTTGTACGGATGACAAATAAGTCTTTAGAGTTTACCTCTTTCCTTCTAACATCAAAAATTAGACAATAAACAGTATCATGAAATACTGCATCAATTACAATATAAATAGTATCATGGAATTCCTAGTAAAAACTGGTTGATATGAAGTTATTGTACAATTATTATTATAAATTATACCATTTGGTTTCCTATAGCCAACAAACTTCCCCTTTCAGATGTATAGGGAGACGGCAATTAATATTTATAAATTATATAGTTTGGTTTCTCGTTTTAGATGTATTGGGAGAAGACAATTAACTTTTACAAAACTGAAATTGACTCTTTTGACAACTTTGTTAACACAATTAGATTCTATAAAAGCTTCGTGCGAGAAATGCTTCGCGAAATGAACACAAATATTGCTTCGGATTGAGCTGAAGACATTTGCCACAATATTTCATGTCTTTCTTTGATATATTGTGAAAATGATCCGTAAGACTTACTTTCAACAACAACTTCCACTCCATGTGAAACATTTACCCATAGGACGAAGACCAACAACGCAGTGCTAATACCAGGTGCGACCTGAAACAAGATTAAAACAGTTACCCATAGGGCGAAGACCAACAACGCAGTGTTAATACCAGACACTAACTGAAACAAAATTAAACCTGTTACCCATAGGGCGAAGACCCATAAGTCGCCATATTAAACGTGCCTGAAACAACATTAAAACTGTTACAAATAAGACAAATACGGGCATACAGTGTACTATGAGAGCAATTTGGTCAGGTAACCACGCTACGACCTTCTCTTATATCGAATTCTAACTGCCGAGGGTTCTTTTACGTGCATGCCAATGTGTACACGGGACCTCGATTTTTCGTCCCATTAGAAAGACTAGACTGCTGTCCTTGCCAGACTATCCGTCCTGCACCACTGACAAGGGAAAACCACGCTGGAAATTCCCAGTGAACTTCCTCACCCAACACCGGGATCAAACCCGCGACCTCTAGCGAGTCAGCGTCTTACTCACTTAGCCACCGTGGCACCTAAAGTATTTAAATTACTAGACTTGCAAATGCTGTCTGTATAAGATATTAGAAATAATAAAATAACAGACCATTTTCATCACTGATCAGAAATGCTGTAAGTATAAAATACTGGTGATCAGACAGGAATGAATATGGCTATCCAGGCCTAGATTATTTATAGTATATTTTGATAACAACATCTGTCTCTTGACATGTTCAAAGTTTATGAAAACCTGAAATAATATGTTGTTTAACTGACAGGCTGTCTAATGCCAGTTTGATATGAACACTATAAATATTTGACATGACCTTTCTGAAACACCTGGTAACTCATCCTTTCTTATAACAAATCCCCTTCCCGTTCCACGATTTGGCAGACCATTGGACTCGGCTCTAATTGTTAACTAAATGTACATTAACGACCATGTGTAAAATAATCAGGGTCTAGTAAAACTCGGTGGGTTAAAGATTCTAAAAGGGGAGGGAGGGGGGGTAACCAAAATTTAAAAATCCTATAACTATAACAAGGAAAATCGGGCCACTTCCTGAAATATAATCACTATCCTAGTAACTGACTATCACATTCAAGCGTATGTATCTGCCTGTTGCATGTCTATATTGTGGTTTCAAATGTTCTATAAACTATTATATTATATGGCAGAAATTTCAATGGATTAGGATGCCAGAGAAATTTAAAATTTGAAGATAAAATGGATTAACAAAATTATGTTTCGAATGTCCAGTACTATTGCTACGATAATAAACAATCTAACACCCATAACTTCTCTCAGAATAAAGTTATTTGAGTAAAATTTTTAATATATTTATTTTCATTATCTATGTTTATATCATTATAGTAAATAAGAATGACCAACTGCTTATCTGGATCTTATATAATACATGTTTAAGTGGCGATATAGCAGTATTTAAGATGTCATCAATTTGCTTATAGACAAGTCGGCATCATATTATGTATAAGATCTGACATAACGGTTCATCTTAGAAATGTAAATCCACTAGGTTATAGGATACGCAATGGCCCAGTGAGTAAGACGATGTTTGCTAATCTAGAGGTCCCGTGGTGCAGGACAGGGGACCTGGCAATGGATAACATATAGCTGTCAGATGGGACAAAAAAACGAGGTCTCGAGTACACATTGGTGTAGAGAGAGAGGGAGTGCGAAATGGAGTTTAGCGTCCACTCGACATAAACTAGGTCATTTCGGGATTAACACATGGTTCAATTTTATTTCAATAATTTGCTTGTGCGTAGGGGTCTTCGGTAGTGGTGGGGAAACTGGAGGACCAGAAGAAAACCCAAGAGAGTGGACAAGCGACACTACCCCTTGTCACGTACAACCGAGGAATCGAAACCACGCCTGTTGACTCAATGACAGACATTATGATACAGCGCACACGCGCTAACCATTCGGTCATCCAACCCCTTTACACATTGGTGTGCATGTAAAACAAAACCAAAAAACCTTGACAAGTAAGGTAGGCAGAAGTGCTGATATCCGGTCAAAAAGTCCCTAATAGCTCATGTACGCCCATCTTCATTAACCCAGTAGAACGTCTAACCCGATTTCATTTCATTTAATTCCAGGGCCCCGTTTCACGAAATTTTAACAAAAGATAAAATCCAAATTTTAGTAGATACTTCAGTTTTGATTGACTAAGCACTAAAATCAATCTAATATTATCCAATCAAATACTAAAAGCTGGTTTCTATCTTAGTTAAAATTTCGTGAAACAGGCCCCAGGTAATTGTTTTAATCTCCAACTAAATTCTAAATGGTGAGTCATTTAATGAAATAACGCCATATTGAATATAAACTAATATTTTAATTTTCTTTGCAACATTCTGAAAAACTCTGTAAAATATATACATGATAGCCTAATCGAAATTCTCGCACTCGTAATATGTCGTGATGATTGACAAAGGGAGTATTTATTTGTTGAGACAAGCTGTTTTAATCAGTCAATAATCTCAATGTACCTTTGGATTATATTTTTATCAACGTTTCTCTGTTCATTAACAATATCTTTATGCATATCAATATCTTCCTGTCTTGTTATTTTGACAATAAAACGTTAATTTTAACGATCTTGTGACATAACTGTCCATGATAAAACTGATCGCTTGCTAGGAGTAAATATGCATGTATGTATAATTTTTCACGACCATTCTGATATATGTGAAACTGGATTATTGATAAAATAACAATATATAATCAGCGCACACGTGATCTAACCTACTATGGTGGATCTATTTCAAGGCGCACCTCTTCTCGAAAGAAGTCCAACCAATCACAATCACGTTTATACATGTCAGCACAAACAATCACAGTGTAATAAACAGGGGGCGGGGCGAATAGTTTAACGCGTGCGAGGCTCACATTACGTTGTACAGTGTATATGTCGTAACATCGTCAATTGGACAAGCAACTAAACCCTGTCTTGATATAAAATAAACATCAGTCAGGAATCAGTTAGATGTAGAATGGATATGTATAAGTTGTTAAACAGTTTTGTCACTGGTGTTTGGCAGGATTAAGATTGTTTTCTATATTCTACCCCCCCCCACACACACACACACGGTATATCTACCCCAAATAAACAGCATTTACGTTTGACTCAATATCACCTCGATGGAAGCGGACGTTAAATAAAGCTATTTCACACACAGCAATTACGTGCATAAATAGAGAATCTCCTACCAGTCTTTTTTTGTATCAAACATTTCAAAGACCTTTATATTGACCGAGTGTTTCCATCACGGTCAATTGAATAACAATAGTTCATTTTAATTTTAAAAAAGTTACTTTTAATAAGAAATGAACTGTTGTACATGTAGAATGTATTATTTGGTGAAAATTGCTATTATCTAGACCGTTATAGTCTGGACAGAGGCAAAGTTCACTTGCAACTTATTGAATTAAAACTATTTTAAGATTGCATCCATCAGATAACTATCTGGTAAAATTACCATTTTCGTCTGGCAACGTATATGACAGTTTTCATTAAAAAAAAACCTGAGTAATCCATGAAGGCCTTGATCCGCCATTTACATATCCGTGCCTATTTAAAAGTGCTTTAATTTTAATTTCTATTCTAATAAATACCATAACCAAGAAATAAATTCAAGTAAGTCAACAATACACCTACAGTAATAGACTTCCTATCAAAACAACCAAATGAATGTGAAATTGTTATCGACGTCGCTAATATGAATTTCAAATATACGTTGTAATCGTTTACGTTGAGAGGAATTTAGTAATTGCCCAGGCTTAAACCATACCACATACTTATGAGCTTGGTAACAGAGAGAGGGAGTGGGAGCGAGAGAGGGAGAGGGGGGGGGGGGGTTAACGTCCACTCAACATAAACTATGTTATTTCGGGACTAACACATCGTTCAAGTTTCTTTCAATAATTCACTTGCGCGCAGGGGTCTTTATCTGTGGACGAAAATCAGAAGACACGAGAAAACCCACGAGGTTAGACAGGCTGTCCTACTGCTTGTCACGTACAAGCAGGGAATCGAGACAACGTCACTTGACTCAATGACAGACCTTGTGATTTCACAAGCACGCGTTAACCATTAGGGCCAACCAACCCCTTTAAAATTGTAGGAAAGGCATTTGGAGTTATATTACAATGTAGAGTGCCCGCCCCCTGGACACATAAGTGGCCGTTCATGTGATATGTATTTGAATTATGGATTAGAACTAGACTACTAAGTGTTTCCCCGGACTACATGATGTTCCTTGCATTTCAATTCTTGTTGATTCTGAGTATAAATTATAATAAGAGTGTTCAAAATTTACATTTCCTGCCAGGTTTGAGCAAATATTCATGCTTTAGGTGTGATCGATTGTCAACGATAGATTATTTTGATAAGACTTGCAAAAAAAATCGAAATCTAACCCACCCCGTCAATATTTTGATTAGATGATTGCGATATGTTGGCTTTCTTGCAGATTAAAAGGGAAGAATTACTGGCCTGAGACCATGTGCGTTGAAATAGAATTATCTCCCTTGCATAAACCGAAACAAGGAAGAAATCGCCGAGATCAAGCTGCCATACAATAGCTACCATACTCATCTATTTTTATCAACCAATAAAATCCAACGTAACGTCTATCAAATGAAAGTAGAATATATTATCATTTATCCATTCCTTTAGCTCAGAATAGAGATGTAATTTCGCATTATCTTACAAAATTCTGGACATCCAACTAAATATATTCCGAAAGCTGATTAAATAAGCTTTCGAAATATTATTAGTAAAAGGTGGAACAATCATATTAAAGGGGTGCGCTCTCATTCTGAATAGGTTGCCAACGAACAGGTTGCCAGCTGGATCGGTCGAATAGGTCGCTAGCCGAATAGGTCGCCAATTTGTGTTCGGTTAATATCTGTCACGTGCCAGCTATCACGTGATGTAAACAATTAGCCATGTGGTTTAAATTGTGTCACAGTGTCCAGTTTAGAAACTTAATTTACACAAACGCGTTGTATATTATACCTTCAAAACACCGTAAGTTCTTGTTCTTAATATCCTAATAAAGATTACCTTTCATCAGATTTTCTGCCAAACGGCGAAACGATCACAAAATACAGCGCTAAACTTGCTCCAAATTTGTATGTTTACTATAGTGACCAGTGAGCGTGTCGAACCAACTACGTCACTTCCAGTATTAATAAAAATTAATTTCTCGCTTACAAATTATTTTTTGCATATGTTATAGGAGGGATTATTTCTAAATATATATTTATTATTTATGGAAACCTTATTGAAAATCGTTGGTCTTCCCCTTTAACGATTTCCGATTATTACTGCCAGAGTTATGGCCCATGATCGCCCTAGAGGCTAAAGATAATATCCGATTGACTTTAAAGATCATTAGACGAAGAGGCCTGTGATTGTTAACGATTTTCGGAGTTATGGTGCTTGATATTAAATATTTGTCTCCGTTAGTGTAGGGAGCACTAGAATCCAAACAAATTCCAATGATTTGTGATAATTACTTAAATGGGGCATTCCATGTCAAGTGGACCAAATACTCAGAATGTTGTCAGGTGACCACCTCAGAAAACTATCAAAAAAAATATGTTATAGTACATACAGACTTATTTAAAATTGCAAATTATATGACTCTAGCATTATTTACGCAAGTGGTGTTGAAGCATATAATTCTTGGAATGTCACGGTTGTGGACACTCTAGAGGTCACAATTGTTTCCGGGTTTTTTAAAATTTAAAAATACTCTCCAAAACTCGGTTTCTGTCTATATTAGCGCATATCGGATTGCAATGTCCTGGCTTATGACCCCTGATCGTTCGAAAAATCACGTTGTTAGCTTGTGGGCCTCTGGATGTCACATTGTTTATTTGATTTTAAAAACTCTTCAACAATATAACCTTTACACCATAATGACCGACTCATTTATTCAAATAGTATAATAAGCACGTAATAGGCTACCCACGTTGTGGGTACTCTAGAAGTCACAAATTTGTATCTGATTTTAATGAAGCTTAAAATATTCATGCTTTAGGTGTGATCGATTGTCAACGATACATTATTTTGATTCGATGATTGCGATATGTTGGCTTTCTTGTAGATTAAAAGGGAAGAATAACTGGCCTGAGACCACATGCATTGGAATAGATTTATCTCCCTTGCATAAACCGAAACAAGGAAGAAATCGCCATTTATTTATAGAGAAGAAGAAATATTTCACCAGACAACTAAAAGATTATTCAAGTAAATAGGTGAGTTCTTATGATAAAAGTCTGTAGAGACGTCAAACAGAATGTATTAATATATTGTTGTATGTTTCTGATATGACCTAGAACTTACACATTCGAATCGTTTAATTAAAACATACCAATACAACTCGTTTTCTATCAACTAAAGTAAAAGCAAATTATCTGCCATGTGAGTCCAATTGAGAAGTGGTACCAGATGTTATTCAAACAGGGCACCTGCTCTGTCTGATACAGAAGACGATGGCAACTGGGGTAAATATAACCTAAATAACTAGTAGACCAGTTTCTATATCGATCCCATCATTGTGACACTACAACAGGAACTCGAAACGTTATACACGTGTAAAACAGATGATGTGGTTTGAGGACAGACTCTAAAGTCTATTCTGATTGTTAAACTAAACAGTTTAAATACGTACATTTTATATCTATTAGATTCGTATCAATCAGTTTCCCTTTATATCGAATGAAACGCCTGGTGTGTGACTCAATATCTATTTATGGTAAGTGGAAAACCTGTTGTTAAGCTATCATTATCAAGACCTTTATCTGTGTACATGTGTATATGCGGGTAGGGACTTGTAGAAACATTATGTTTATACCGATACAAGTGAGAGAGAGAGAAAAATGGGGTTTAACGTCCACTCGACACAAACTAGGTCATTTCGGGGCTAACACATGGTTCAATTTTATTTCAATAAATCGCTTGCGCGTGGGGGGCTTTAGCAGCGGGAGGAAACCGGAGGACCCTTAGAAAACCCACGAGGTAGGACAGGCGACCCTTCTCCTTGTCACGTACAACCGGGGAATCGAAACCCCGCCAGACCGTTGACCATTGACCATTCGGCCATCCAATAACCCACCGATACAAGTAATTTAAACTGCAACTATTACAGGTATTGTAATTCAGATAATATCGCTTGTGTAAACAATGTAATTTAACCCACAGTTATTCAGACACGATATCAATATATGTGCTTTAAATATATTTTAATGAAATGATTACACATGTATTTATTGATTTGCTTGGGTCATCAGATACAGCTTTTATTGTCATACAACTTTTATTGTCATACGCTTTCTTACAAGGTGTGTGGTATTGGCGTGGCCTTGGCGGGGTTCTGGGAGGGGCGAATGGCCACACTATTAATTTTATTTTCTGTTTTGTTTTTTGTCCACCGCCTTTCAAAGAAAGCAGGGGATTATTAAAATGGGTTCGTCCGTCTGTCTGTCTGTGCGTCCGTCTGTCTGTCCATCACACTTTTTGGGACACAATAACTCTCCTTCTAATTGAGCTAGAATGTTCAAACTTGGTGTAGGTGTTTATTAGGTCAATGCCTTGATGGAGTTCGAAGATGAGCATTTTCGGCTTAGGGTAAGCAGAGATAAGCAATTTGATTGGTTGATGATTTGGGACACGATAACTTTAGTTCTAATTAAGTCAGAGTGATGAAACTTGGTGTATCGTTTCATTACATCAATACCTTGACTAAGTTCGATAATGAGCATTTTCTGCTCAGGGTAAGCAGAGCGATAAGCAATTTGATTGGCGTAGGGGTCTTTAGCAGTGGGAAAAAACTGGAGGGCCCGGAGAAAACCGACGAGGGTGGACAGGCGACCCTACTCCTTGTCACGTACAATCGATGAATCGAAACCACACCAGTTGACTCAATGACAGACCTTATGATACAGCGTGTACCATTCGGCCATCCAAACCCCTTACACATTGGTGTGCATGTAGTAGGCTAGACAGAAGTGCTGATATCCGGTCAAAATTTCCCTAGTAGCACACTGTACGCCCGTAATCATTAAAGGACAATATTGGTGCCAGTCATTGTCACATATGTGATAGCATTGGTTAGCCCAGATACATGGGCGAATTTCTGCTCACTAATAATTCCTTCGAAGACCAAAAGTTGTTGTGTGAGACTGTGAAAGGATATCTGACAATTCATAAAAAAAATGGAATGTCACTAGATAAAGTCCATGCATTACCATGTTTTTATAAGGATAGAATGAATAAACACATGTGAATGTACGGATTGCTTCTATTTTTCTCGTGTTCTCTTATCTAATGACATTCAATTACTATTTTGAATTGTCAGATATACTCTTACAGTCTCATATAACAACTTTTGGTCTTCGAAAGAATTATTGAGCAGAAATTCGCCCATGTATCTGTTATCACTCGTCACATGAGTCAGTTATATAGAGGGATAACTTTTGTGTTCGTCACTTCCGATTGTTGAGGCTTTGATTACACATCTATCCGTAGCAATGATCACTGGGATAAAATAATATTTGGAACGTTTTTAACCAGTTCTATCACATATGTGATAATGACTGGCACCAATATTGTCCTTTAAACCAGTAGAACGTTTAGCCCTATTTCATTTAATTCCAGGTAGTTGTTTTAATCTGCAACTAAATTCTAAATGTTGAGAAATTTAATGAAATAACGCCATTACTGTACCCAATGCTACTCATATTGAATATAAACTACCTTTTTAATTTTCTTGACAACATTCTGAAAAAAATCTGTAAACTGGTGACTGGAAAATACCTGATAGCCACATCGAAGTCCTCGCACTCGTGATATGTGTCGTGATGTCGACATTATAAAGATGATTGACAAAGGGAATATTTACTTGTTGAGACAAGCTGTTTAAATCTGTCAATAATCTCAATGTACCTTTGGATCATATTTTTTATCACCGTTTCTCTGTTCATTAACAATATCTTTATGCATATCAATATCTTCCTGTCTTGTTATTTTGACAATAAAACGTTAATTTTAACGATCTTGTGACATAACTGTCCATGATAAAACTGATGTATGTACTATTCCTTTCTAAGCTTTTGACAAGTTTTGTACGAACATTTCGATGTATGCGATACTGGTTTATTGATAAAATACGAATATATAATCAGCGCACACGTGATCTGACCTACTATGGCTGATCCATTACGAGGCGCGCCTTTTCTCGTGGGCTAATAAGTAATTTTCCACTCACGTGTATTTTAAACAGGAACAATTTATCCTTGAAAAATGCAAATGGCCAACATGTTTACTAAACTATAACTGGGTTACCGTATCTAAATAACCAGCATACTTTCTATATTTTTGGTTATAAACTTAGAATCAATAATTTGTAAAGTTAATGATATTGTTTCAGGCACCATATTTCTTCTCTATTCCTAATCTTTAGCCCCCATGTCCTGTTATTGTCACAATATTTCATAAACAATTTAATTTGCATTTCAAAATAAACTTATACCATAGCTAATATTTTGGCAATGGAGAATAATTAATCAAAACCATAATATGATTCAACATATGTGTTCTTTAGCACAAATTCCTACCATCCATGTTACTACATTACCTCCCCTGCTTTAGGATTTGTGCTACTTATTAGTTAGGAAAACCCTTGAAAACTTTCCATTCTTCTAACCCAGCATCCATATAATTATATAATTATTCATGCAAACATGCATATATATACGATTAACACCCAATATTAAATATGGCCAACAATTATATCAAAAATCAAAAGTCGCATGCAATCGCTCTCCAAAAGTTCATCACCGCAATTCCAGAGTCCTATAATAATTATCTTTAATTAAACACAGAAAAACATAACTAAAAGGTTTCTTGGTTCTTTTGATATGTCCCAATTCCAAAACATTATAACTTTACGCTTAATATTTATAAAGTTCAGTTTCACTTTGACTTCTGTCACAGAAAATCTCAATTTGATAAATTGGTAAACCATTCTTCTTCTTGGATTTCTATTGGTCTATTTCAGCTATCACATTTCTCAACAATGAGTCTTTTCTTTTCTTGAAGCAGAAGTTATCTCGTTAGACACAAGTCTTCAGACTTCCAAGAACATTCTTCACTTTTTTGTGATGAATGGTTAGGACATTTCATCTGTCAAATCAAAACATGTCATTGCCATACGATCAAGAATTAATTATTCTTAATTTTAAACGTAATTTTAATATTATCCTAACATTATTATTCTTAAATCTTATTATTTACTCATACTGTTAACTTAAAAGTAAACCTTCATTCAATTATTAATAAACTCTGATGTGTCTCTTTAATCATCAGAATGCTAACAAAGTATTAAATTATAAATCTACAAACTATGTTTGACGTCTTGACTTTAACTCAGTAATCTACAATTTTATAATTTCGTTTTTGCTTTATAATTCGGGAGCCACGGTGGCTTGGTGGGTAAGGCGCTGGCTCGCCAGCCTGGAGGTCGGGTGTTCGATCCCTGCATTGGCCGAGAAAGTTCATCCCGATTTTCCGACGTGGTTTCCCCTTGTCAGTGATGCAGGACGTAGGGCCTGACCAGGACAGCTGTCTAGTCTTTCGGATGAGACGAAAAACCGAGGTCCCGTGTAAACATTGGAAAGCACGTTAAAGATCCCTTGGCAGTTGGAATTCGATATAAGAGTAGGCGATAGTGCCGCTGCCCGGGCAAAATTTCCCTCATAGCACACTGTATGGCGTATGCCCGTCTTCATTAGCCCATTATAGGAGCAGAACAGTAGGACGTTAAACCCCATTTCATTTCATTTCATTTGCTTTATAATTCCGCCAAAGCAATTACAATGTTATTTTAACATTTCAACATCAGGATTACGTTATCCAAATTTGTATAAACATTATCCATGTTACACAAACATCTACTACCGGTAATCTCACCTTTTTGACCTACCTTCATTAATTTTGTATGTGAGCTAAAACAAATACAAATACGACACCAATGCATGAAACGGGCCCACGGTTACCTATTCCATCTTAATGTTACATGTGCAAGAATGCCACGCAAACATGGCCACTATCTGAATGACATCCCGTTTTATTCAATTTAACTAGAAATATGTCCCAAGCGAATGGTTGCAGTTTTATTCACCCGAACAACAGTCTATATATTTATCTAAACCCAAACATGTGTTAAGTTTTAACTCATTATTTATTCCAACCACCC